ATTCGTTATTTAAAATTATTCTATACTTACATCTCCTGAACCCATTACTGCAATTGGTGTTTCTCCTGTGACTAGAGCCACTTCATGTTCAATTAAATAAAACATGTACTCATCATAGAGCAGGCGTATTAGGTGAAACGAACCAAAGCTAGCAGCTGAACGTAAAGTCAAATCGCGTATTACCATTGAACTGTAAAAAGTAATAAAAGTTTGAATATAAAATATTCACGATAAATATATATTTGAATATTTTTAGATTCTTTATCGTGAATATTTACCTATAAAATGACCATTTTAATAAAAACTGTCTAGCTTCTTTCGTGAAGTTAGGTGTATCACGATATTGTTTCAAACAATTATCAACAACACTTTTTAACCATGTTGCCCATTCTTCTAAAGAATTTTGTTGTTGTAAAGTATGCTTAAAATCTGCTTCCAATTGTTGAACTAATGTTGAGTCACATTGGCATACCCAAGAAGCCTTTTTATAACCAATTAATTGTTTAGTACACCTACATATTATATATTTAATATGATAATTACAAAATTTCTTACTTGTTCTTGGACATTACGGAAGTCTACACGATTTAAATCAGTAAGCATTTGATTTATTTGAGTATAATTTTGAAGCACAGCTCTCGCAGCTTGGGCAAGATGATTAAGCGAAGTGTATCTACGTAAGGTTTGTGCAAAGGCGCTAACAGCAGTCACCTAAAATTAAAAATTATAATAATAGTAATGATGAATGATTGAACAAAAATAGTATGAAAATAATAACTTTTATTGAGATCATTTCTTCTGGACACCCTTGCATTGCAGATATCAGCCATGACTCTAAGCCTTTGGAAAAATTTCTAATGGCTTGTGTTAATGTTCCTGTACATAATTTATTGATAGTTATACCTTTAAACATAAAAACATAAAATAAACATACCAGGAACAGGCCGAAGAACATCTGGAATTAACACTTTCACCAAGTTTTGATAAAATAGAAAATCAACAGTTTTCACAAACAGTTGCAATGTTTTGCACTTTGACAATGAATACAATTTTTCTTTAGACAAATATTTTTCTTCTTCACATTCATCATTATTATTATCTTGACTACGCCAAAATTCACGCCAAAGTGACTCTACAGTACCAAATTCTAAGTTCAAAATAGCACCTAAAAATGCCTATAAAAACAATATTATTTAAATAACAATAAATAAGTTTTATTATTAAAATAATTTAGTACTTCATAATGTTCACGGTACAAATTTTTGAATGTATCTACATCTTCTAAAGTACAATTATCATCCAGTTGTATTTCATCCAATATAATATCAGGAAATTCTGGTACAGCATTAGCACCATCACCTAAATATTCTTGGTTTTGTGCTTGAGGAGAAGATGGAATACTATTTTGTGAACAATTAGCAGAATCTGAACTATTAGTTGTGAATTGATTGCAGTTTCGTTCTTCAGTTTTAATGAATTTAATTTTTTTTGAACTACTACTTTGATTTGTTCGCCCTGGTAAGTTTTCTTCCGAGGAAAAGTCATTTAATAATGAACTAGCCTTAATTCTAATACCATAATAATGATACTTGGAATTTCCTCTAAAACACAAAAAAGTGTTGGTTAAATAAATCATATAATTTAGTCATTCTACAGTAAAAAAAAAAAAACACCATACCGAGTTCCTAGACGCCTTGTACGTAATCCCATAAACACAGACCGGATAAGTTTACCAAATGATGCTGCATTTACAGGATCAATTTTAGTTTCCGAGCAATGTGTTAAATAATGATTATATAATGTAGATCGAGGTAACGACACTCCTTCGGCCATTTCATAATTTTCCATCAGCCAGTTGACCTTTCATAAAAATATAGTATTAAGTTATTAATTATTACAAATAAAATGTATTTGTTTACAGTTGCAGGAGAAATTCTATTTGCATGCATAAGACCAGAGTTTTGCATTCCTCCATCTGATTCTACACCATTCAGTTGATCTATACTTGTGTTTGTTGAGCCAGATTCAGTAGCGTTTACTGTAAGATATGACACATCCTAAAATTAAAATAAAGACTTAATAAATATACATTGTTATAAGTTAAATGCAAAAATGTATAAAGATTTAAGCAATATATAATACAAAATACACAGAGGTACATTATTATAAAAACTATTATACCGTAGATAAAGCGGAATTTGGGCTGTCTCTTTGAGCAGTAGCAATAATAGTGTGATCATTGTCAACATTCTGTTGTATAATATAGGTTCCATTACCTATAATTTGTGCCTGACATGTTGGTTGGCCTAAGGTGTTTGTAACCTTTAACATATTGAACATGTTTTAATTTTAATGTTATTATAAAAATGTAATTAAAATTAATTATATGAAATGATCCAGAGAGTCCTGACCATTAATATTTATATATATATATATATTTGACAGCAAAATATAAAATAAATGAATGAAAATGAAAATGTAAAATTTTTTCTACATTATATGTATCTGCACAAGAATATAATTAGTAAGGACTTTTTGGATAACTGTTAAATAAAAATCATGAAAATTGCATGACAAAAATATACCAGGATTCGTATAAATATTATTTACTTGAGAATAAGAATTTGTGCTTGGAGTGTAATAATGGGTTTGACCAGTCTGATACATTGTTCCACTCTCACCAACAGTATAAACTGGATATGCCCTAAAAATTAAATGAATATAAATATATATTAATATTAATTGATTATTGATAACAAATTTACATTTGTCCATTAGTGAAAATTGCTTGTTCGCCAGTTCCTTCAACATATTGTACATAAGTAGAATGGCCAACATCGTCAGAACCAACAGACTCTGCTTCGGGAACTAAATAAAAAACAAACAGGTATTTAGCTATGATAAACAAACAAGAGCCACAAATACTATACATACCACTATACTTATATTTAGCATTAATTTGAACACAAATAAATATGGAAATTGGCTAAACATTGATGAAAATGTTTGCACCAGTATAAGGAGCTTTTTAAGCAAAATAAGAAATGCATCAGAAAGTTAAAATAAAATAAAATAAAATTAAGAAAATACTAACTAGAAATTTTAACTCAAAAAAATTGAAATGAAAATTAAAACAAATGTTTCACTAAGTCTTACCCAATGTTGGTACTGGTGTAAGGGAAGTATAAGATCGTCCTTGAGTTCCTTCTTAATGGTAAGCGTGTAATTTTATAATCACGATATATGATAATATGCATTTTATATGAAAAATGGAGAACTAATATTGTATAAGATTAAGAAAAATGTTTTTATTTTATTTTAAGATCTATTTTTATCATACAAAAAAATTCTCCATAATTTCTTAAATGATATTAGTATAATGATTTTGTAGACCTTACCTGACGCTGCCACAATATAATGACCATTATCAACAGTAACTGTAGAAGAAATCCTATCTTTATGCTCTAGGTGTTCATCATCATCCATTGATTTATCAGATCCATCATCATGAACTGGACTAGTTCCACATAGTATAGCATTTTCAAGTTGTCTATTGCTATTCACATTCTAAAAATATATATTATTAAATATTTATAATATACATAAAACTATACAAATTAATTATGTACCTGATCAATAGATGTACGCACCACGGAAGTTTGTTGTACTGGTTGTACAACAAGAGTTTGACCAACACCACCAGCCGTTACAACAGTTATAGTACTAATTTGGGAACCAGTACCTGCTGACCCTTCTAATTTGATTCCACTCCTAACAGAAGTCGCCATGGAATTACCTAAACATACATTTAGTTTCATAATTTTTTTTTAAATCAAACTTTTAGTTAAAACCCATAAACAAAATAAACAATTTAAATTATTATTTATTAAATAGGTACTAAAAGAATTTTTATTAGCTAATATAATACAATTAAAACCTACTATAATACTAGGTAAATAATTATACCTAATTGTGAATGAATTTTAATTATAAAACTAAATAAATACAAATAATAAAGGATTCCCTTTCTTGTAAAAGACAGGATCATGAACATGTCTTTTGAACCACAAGAACATAATAATAATATTTTATTAACACGTTCATCACAGAAACAAATGATGTTACCATAGCAACTGATAAAATCAAATGTAACAAATTCTCAATTCTGATTATTATTATTTGCGCATTTATCATAATATAAACAAATCATTATGTCATAATTTTGTAACAAAAAAGTATTTTATGAATTGCTAATAGAAGACCCTCAGCCAAAAGACTAAATCTAATTAGATTAAATTTGTGTTAAAAGTATAATGATTTTTTTTTTATATTTTTTCTATTTATGATTATAAAATAAAAATAATGTATAATTATAATTACAATTTATTTATACATATTATATTATAGTACTATTTTATTTAAAACATTGACTTAAATATAAAAATGTTTGCATATTTATTTTAAACAGTCTAATTAACAAAAATAATAATTGTTATACAAAATAAAAAAATTTAAGACATTTATTTAAATTAAGTTTTTAAAATAAAATAATAATAATTTAAAAACTAAATCTTATAACTTTAATTAAATATTAATTATTAAGGTATTTAAAATATAATGTAATAATAACTATATAAATATTAACTAACTTATAATTATCTATTAGGTATATAATAATTTACTTATACTAAGTTGTAAACAATAAACATTTTTTTCCATCACTTAAAATCATATCTCTATTATTAAATGACCAAGATAAATTAGAAACTAATAAACTTGTACCATCAACAAGCTTTGGTGAAGTCTGTAATTTAGGAGTTTGTCCTTCAGTCCAAAAAAAAATTAAATCTGTACCATAAGCTACACACAATTTGTTTTCTGATGGAGACCACTGCATTTTTTTAATTTTTTTTGATAACTTTATTAAACATATTAATCTATATTTCTGCCAAATAAAAAGAAATGTTGAATCTTCTTCATAAGTACTCAAATAAGTACAATTAAAGCTCCAAACAATAAAAGATATTTTTGTTGAAACATTATTGATAAAGGTTTTTGAAGGGTTTGATTGGATTAATACTCCACCGGATTCTATGAAAAAATCATAATCTTCATTTAACAAAGAACAAGAAAATTTAAATTCTATATTAAACTCATTAGAAGAAGCTAATACAACAATGTCACCCAAGGAACATCCTAAAGCTAAATATTTACTATTAGGTGCCCAACTCACAGCGTTTAATGAAATAGTTTCAACTGAACCAATAACATTACCAGAGAGAAAATCAAGAATTGCTAATTTTACATCATTAAAAACACAGATGAAACGATTATTTGGAGATTTATTTAGACCATTACAAGGTCCTATTATGTCTTGAATATAAATAATCCTATCTAAACTTCGAGAACTCATCATTAGCAATTTCTCATAACCATTTATCTTGGAGACAACAAACATATGTGTCCCATCACTATCAAACACTGCACAAGGCCAAATGGGTTTAGGTATTTCAATATATACAATGGAATTTTTTAACAGATTAAACACAGCTAAAGCCATATGGAATTCAAGCGTCAGCAAAATTTTGTTGCGACCAATCCATTCGGCAGCAACAAACTTGAAATAGCCACATCTAAGGGTACGTATCCATTTTTCAGCACGGACGTCATACACCTGTACCACACCTTTGCTGAACTCTGTGCACAGTATAAGATTAGATGCCAAGTTCCACTGCAGACCGTCAATGGCATGAGCGGCTGTGGCCACGACGTGGGGACCAGAGAACGGTTGTGCCTTGACGATCAGACGGTTGTACACAGCGGACGCCACATACCGGCCATCGGTAGAAAACGCGCAGGCATCATAGTCTAGTGGTAGCACATTCATTTTTATAAAATGGAACAAAACACTTACTGTTTGATTTTCGGACGACTCTCACAGAAGCGTTTCTTCATAGGTTTCGATTTGGATGAAACGTCAGTGATGTATACCTGCAAATATAAATACATACATACATACATACACACACACACACACATACGAGAACGTATACAAGTGCACATACACACGCACACACACACAACTGTTACTATTGGTTTTGTTGTTAGGACGGAAACGAAAATTTTGACTGTGTAACGTCAGTTACGTTCGGTTAGTCGTGAACATCGTGTGTATGTGTGTGCACAACGGACTAACCAAACATAAATGCATTTTTTTTTTTTTGTTTATTTATTATTATATTTGTTTTTTGTACGTTTCAATCGTTCACCTGAATTGTTGTTGGAAAAAGGCGTTCATGGTGACTATGGCTACGGCTTCTCTCCCGTTGCTAGGAGCGGTGTCGGTCACAACAAACGCGCAACAATGAACGATCAATAACAAGATTACAGGAATAGGGTACGCCGCCACCGCGTCTTGTCTTCGCGGATCGCTAGTCCCCTACGCCCGACGCGCCACCGATATCGTAGTTGTGCGTGTGCGTAAGCTCTGTCGAGTTTGCGCCTGCGCGTGTGTGCTTCGGGCACGGCCGGTCAGAGTGTGTGGCGGTGCTCTTCGTCCGGTCCGCTAGATGATGATGCGAATTGCGAATATTGCGAATGTCGCGAATCCTATATCATTGGCTTAGTACTGCAACGGTGATGGCTGTGCACATATTTGCGGTTCGTCGGGCGTCGACGACGGTATGGCGAAATCAACGAGAACAATGATACTAATGAGACGTCCGTTCGTTACGAAAAGGATTCCACAAACAGCACAAACGGAACGATACTCGACAGTCAAAACATATGAATAGTGTGTGAATTAGTGTGAATTGCTCAGTACAAGTGGACCATCGATCACCCGATGGATATGCGTCAAAGACATTTAAAAACGTCGTCACCGGCCGCTCGTGGCTCTCGTAATTCGCGTTTGGCGCCTTTTTAAATGGGAAATTTAAAAACTCACCGGACCGTTTTTTTGTACGACTTGGGTTCAAATTTAAAAACGATTAGATATTTAAGCGAAGAATAACGATTTTAGTTATTTTATCGCAATTTAAAAATGTTATTTATGGATACTAGACAATTTTAACGTTTATTTTTTTTATTTTTTACACACAATGACTACTTATTATACTTGACCTACTGTATTAGGTAGATAGGTACTAATAGTAAAATTAAGTACATTATGAGTGATAAAAATATACTCAACACTAAAAGTGGCATAACAATAAGGTGGGTGACACGATGGGCAAAAGGCCTATGAAAATACAATGAGTCCCATCACATTCAAAATATAATGAAAACAATTTTAATAATATTGAAAAATAATTATTATTTTAATATTAATACAATTATTTTCTTGTTGTAATTGAATGTAACTATAATAATCCGAATTTATGATTTTCACTATTTTTTAATTTTTATTAGTTCGATAATGACAGAGATACCTATACATAAATTGTTAAGATTAACGAATATGAGTGGCTTAGCAGCATTACCATAATGGTAGTCTAAATTCTAGTCTAGGATGACTAATTTGTTTTGAGAAACTACTGAATTTATGATTTTAAATAATTTATTTACAATTCTGGCATTTTTTTATTAACTAAAATTGGTTTAGTTAAAAATTAAAATAATTAATAGCACAGGTTGAGTGCCCTAGTATTTATAACAATATTGTATTTTTACGATTAGAAATCAGTAATCATAAATTATTTTTCATAAATTGTGAAAATATATCTATGTGTAAATGTCAGTAATTTTCTCGTCAGATATGTGGACGTTTCTTGACTACTTTCTTCTTTCATCCTTTTTATATTATTCTCATTATTCACGGATTCCTATTTAAATGTTTTGATTCGTTTTTTTATATTATATACTAATACGATGTACTAAATTGACTTTTCTAATTTATGTTCTTCTTTTTGAATATTTTGTTCCTTTTATGTGTAAATCAAGGTGGATATATATCCATATATTTATATCCACCTTAGTGTAAATTAATATATTTTATTATCATATGTAAAGTCAAAATGTATCATATAATTATTTTAATTTTTAATTTTTATCTTTATATTATATATTAATTTATTACACAATTTTTACAAAATTAACATTTTAGTTCATAATTAAATTATTACTATAATTTTTTAAATCACTATCTCCAAATCACCTTTTAAGACTAAAACAAATGTCATTTCTAATAGGAATATACTGCCCCCCCCCACAACTGTAACTATATGTTGAAAATATTATTCTGGCCACAATTACCTATCTGCTTATAAATTTATTATAATACAACTTATATTATATGTAAGATTTATAAGTTTCAATGATATGATATGATATGATATGATATATCATTATATACAAAAAACGATTCTAAATGGAAATGACTTATTAGCCTATATCACCAAGAGATATGATTTTTTGATATAGCTATTAAAGTCATTTATCTTACTTTTAGTATTATAGTAAGTTGATTTAATTTTTTCCGAAAATATTGTGTTTTTTTACTATTAGTATTTAATATTCAATAATTTATTTAATATAATATCAACTTATACAACTCAAAATTTACTAACATCTATCTGTGAATACCGTAAAACAGTTACAATAGATTCATAGTAGGTACCTTGAAATAGACAATATTTTAAAATAAATCAAAAATGTTAGAATGTAAAATTCATAATAATATAAAATACATAAAAGCTCAATTTGTTTCAAATAACGTTTTTAAATTATAACAAATCCATTAACTTATCATTATTTTTCGATTAAGTAATAATTTTGTCCAAGTTGGAACTTAAAATGTCTATAAACAACTATCGTCTTTATAATTTTTTTTAGATTTTAGATTTTAAGGTTCAATATGCACTACTTATGTATTGATTAATATTTTTATACAGGAATACAAATATCTTTTGTGGAATTTTGTTCTAACTTTTAAACATTTCTATTCAATAAATAACTTTTAATTAAAAAAAAATAAAAATTTCTCGTGCCTATAAAGAACTCAAAGAGAGATAAAAATATTTGTAAAAGTTATTATATTACAATGAAAATTATAATATAAAAAAGTTTGGTGAACATTTCAATTATTTAATGTTATTAATTTTTTTAAATATAATAAAATATCTTGAATTGTTTGAGGAAAAAATATTATTTTATGGGTGAATATTGATATCTTGAATTTGAAATACTTATAAAAATTGATTTGATTTTCGGATGGAATTATTATTTTTCATACATAGGTTAAAAAACTAATCAAAAATTTTGTGTTTATTATTTAAATCTTAGGCATACAATTTTCAACTGAAAAATTTATTAAATTTTACGGTTTTTATGAATTTTGTCAAAATTTTAATTTTAAACGCTTTAAAAAAAATATTGTTTCTATAAAATATCGATAATTTTTAATTATGAAGTTAACAACTTAAAAAGAGTTTATATTAAATTTTCAAATATTTCTACCTAGCAGGTAATGGACATTTAATAAAAAAAAGTCTAAAATTTAAATGTTTAGAAATAACACAAAGAGCTTTGGTATTTTAAAATAAACCATAGAAATATTTAGTGAACATTTTAAATCTTAAGGTTATTTATTTTTGAATTAGGTACCTACAATATAAAAAAATTAATTTTGTTTTGCATTAATATTTTCATTTTTGGTTCTTTTTTGTTTTTCTCAATTATTAAAAAAAAAATACTAGAAATTATTAATTTATTAATACATCTTAAATCACCATTTATATCTAATTCTCTACCAAGAACTACCTTAAAATTCAATGATTGTAGCATTTATATACTGCTCCAAAAAACGATGTAGACAAAAAGAACATTGTAAACGTATTTAATAAGGGGATTAAGTAAGGACTTCATGTTCTAACCTAACCTTAAGATATCTATGCATTTATGCCCTTAAAAATTATCATATGTAGTCCAAAAATATGCTCTTAAAATAATATCATTAAAAAATCAAAATTATGAGTTTATTTGTTACAAAATAAGACGTTTTATTTTAATTTTTACAAAAAAAAAATTATTCTTAATCTAGAATATTATACTAACTAACTAATATATGCATGTCGGACGAAAACATATAGGTTAGTACGGTACTAACTACTAAGAGTAAAACAGTCAACACTCAAGAGAGTACAGACGAATGTCGAATTAACATTATAACTGACCGTATTCGGCGTATTCTTTATCGACATGTTTTTCACAATACACAAATAATCGGGAAAACACACAGTAGATAAATTATTTAATTATTTATATTTAATCATTTTAATCTATTTTTTTCAATTTATAGAAAATTAATATTAAATATTGTATATTGTATAGTACGTATAAAATATTATTCCTTATATACCTATTCTATATTGTTTTAAATTTTTTTTTAGATAAAATGTATGAAATATGTACTTAAAATACAAACCAATATAACAAAATATTCAATTTAAAGGGAAAAAAGCAAATCTGAAATAATCTGAATATGCAAAATAAAAATGATTGCTTTAAACTTCTAATACTAAGAAAAGAATTTCTACATTATTTATTTATGTTTTGAACGATTATTAAAAAACATGCAAACTCCTATAAGTCCTTAGCCTTAGTAATAATACATTCATTATGGTATGTAGTTGCAGTAGCAGTATGATCATATTCTAAAAGTACATAAGTTTCAATAAGGTAAGTACTCAAAAAATAGGGACAGCTCCAGGGGGGGGGGCTAGTGATCACAGCCTCCCTACAAGCCCGTATTTCTATAAAAATAGAGATATATTATTTAAAACAAAATTACAAAATAAAACGCATATTATACCTACCATTGAATATTATAGACACGTACATACATGAATATCATTATTTAGGATGAATAAAATTTATTAATTTTTAGTGCATATTTTTGTTATTAGTTTATATTTTTATTTAAATTATAAATTGTTAAATATCGTCAAAATAAACACAAGTTTCAAAACTTTCCAGAGTATTATAGACTAAAAAAAGTAGTAAATATACAAATACCTAATTGTGTGTAACAATACATTAAAATAATATAAAAAATCGTGTTACAGCCAGAGATATGTACTTATTATCTATACTCAGTGTGGTAGCCAGAGGGGGGTGATAAGGGTGTTGTAAACCCCCCCCCACCAATCATTTTTATTTTCTGGTCCATTACAATTTTGAGTTTTCCATCCCTAATAATATATACTTATACTTAACCCCCCCCCCCCCCCCCCGGCAATTCAAAAATTCTGGCTATGCCACTGTCTGTACAAATGAGCTATATAATTATATAAAAATACTATATGGTATGATATTATTATGAATATTATGACTTAGCCTTCTAAACCAAGCCTTAGGAGTCGCCCAAGCTTAAAAAATGATAAGAATTAGTTATTTTACTTATATTTTGTGTAATACCTATTTCAAGACGAAACTATTTTTAACACTTAAAGGAATAAATAAATAAGTTAAAATATGATAACAATCAATTATAATAGTCAATAGATTTATTTCAGACCTGTCCTCACTAATTAATTCTCTCATTTTCCTTCTTTACAGCCGTACTGAAAAAATAATCCATTCCATAGTTCATTTATTCTCTATCTCATTAGTCTAATTACCAATTATATCAAATTCACCTATGATTATTTCTGTTTATCTTAATGTCACTATGTATTTAATATTAAGCATTTTATTATAATCGTTGAGCTGTAATAGTTTTATATTCGAAGCTAAATAAAAAAAAAAAAATTAAATAAAAAATAGATAATTACATTTTTTGTTCTTTGTACTTTGTTTAATTAACTTAAATTTATAAAAAATACTAAAAATGTATTTTAAATTAATTAAAAACTATTATTGTGTTTTACATAACAATTCACATCCTGTAGTTTTAGATGTCTTTAATTCTCAAAATATTAAAATATTTAGTTCATATACTTTCATAGGTAGCCATTAATTTTAAAGTATAAATATAAATCCATTTTATTGAGTATTATACATAATTATCGATGTATAAAAATATACCTGCATAGTAACTAAACTAAATAAAATAAATTGAAGTTAAACATAATTTTAATAATTTCTATACATAGTTAAGAAAAATTATTAGGTACATACACACACACACATACATATATATATATATATATGTATATGTATTTTTTATTGTTATAAACTAATTAGCTTTTATAATTTTAACGTTTATTAGTAATAGGTACTTAACATTAATAAAGTTATTGAAAATAAAAAAATAATTTAATAATAACAGATTATTTATACTGGTGTTAAAAATATAGCTACCATGGCTTGAACGTATAATAATACTATTCCAATAGCTTTAAGCTACTCAATTAAAATATAAATGCATGTTTTGTAACATAGATTAATGCTTATCAAGAGTCAACATATTATGATATTAGTAATTATTATAAATTTATATATGTACTTAAAATGTTTTATTTTGTTAAGCAACTGATAATTTGTATGATATAGAAATATACTTAATACTGTATGGTAGGTACCTATAGTCAGGCTATAGATATTAGTAATTTATAACATTTATATTACGAATGTATAGTACATTATTATATTAATATTTCTTATTTCTTATTTAAAATAAATCTTTACATCTCGAGAAATGACTTCGAAAAATAAAGAGGATGAAGCTGTTTCCAATTTTAGAAAATATTTACAGATACCCACCGTCCATCCCAATGTTGATTACAGTTAAGTATTATTTTTTTTAGACACTTATATAAAAAATTAAATATATAACATATTGTATAATTTCATACTATATGTTCTAAGGAATAGACTGGTTAAAGTATTGTGTAGCCGTGTAGGTCCTATTTTTTAAAACTAATATAACTATTAAATTAAAAATGTTATTGAACATTTAGTTTTAGTTATAAATTTCATCTATAATACCAGCATAATATAATTAACAAACCTTTAAAGTTTTAAACAACAAATTTAATTTATTAACAGGATTTTATACATTGTACCTACAAATAATATTTATAATATATAAAAATAAAAATAAGCACATCTTAATAATTATTTCTTAGATAGTTTGATTATCTTTAATATGCAGGTGAATGTGTCCAATTTCTACAGTTTCAAGCTGAAAGTATTGGACTACCATTTAAAACTTACTATATGGCACCAAAAAAACCAGTAGTTATAATTACACTACATGGACAAAAACCTGAATTACAATCTGTGTTACTTACATCCCATATGGACGTTGTACCAGTTTATCCGGTAGGTATGCTAAACTAGTATTAAATATATTAACTTAACTAAACGTTTCAAGGGTACCTATAGATATGAAGAGGAAAAATGTTATTTATTTAGTTATTATTGTTAAATAAATTTAATTTGATCAGTTAATAATTTCTTTAAAACTAAACGTATTCATCGTAAATTTTTCAGGGTTCATATATTTTATAATATATTATATGCTTACCTTGATTTGAATCCCATTACTGAGCTCGTAAAAATTTTGCTTTTAACCAAGAGTGGTTTTGTCGGGGAATTATTTTTTATATTGCTCTATTGATGCTATATTGATGCAGCTGAGCTTTTTGAAGTTAATTTTAAAGTTTTTTCTATCCATATTTGTATATTTTACACTTACATATTCCTAAAGTATTCTACAGAGTACAAGTTATTAATCTTTTAACCAGCCGTTTTTAATTAATAAGTGGCTAGCCAATACGGGGGGGGGGGGGGGATTTTATAAACGTATAATTTGAATATTATTCATTAATTATGTATGAATTGTTATATTTTAAACTTAAGTACAGGATTAACTATTTGTTAATTATTATACAATTATGTGTTATTCTTAATTTATTATATTAACTTGTTTTGGGTTTACCATTTTTTAATAAATCAATAAATAAATACCTATTTATAATTGTTCTTAGGAAAAATGGACATATGATCCATTTTTAGCTTACAAAGATAAACAAGGAAATATATACGCTAGAGGAGCACAAGATATGAAATGCGTCGGCATACAGTATTTAGAAGCAATAAGAAGATTCAAGAATAATAATTTAACTCTTGATAGGACTATTCACGTTTCTTTCATGCCTGGTATGCCTATATTTTGTTACCTACTTGAGTATTTTTACAAATAAAAAATAACAATAATTTTATTGTATAACAGATGAAGAAATAGGAGGAATTTTAGGTATGGCTCATTTTGTTAAGACCAAAGAATTTCGTTCTTTGAATATTGGATTTACATTAGATGAAGGTTTGGCAAGTATAGACGATGTTATTCCTTTGTACTACGGCGAAAGAACAATTTGGCGTTCGTATATTTTACATTTGTACAAATTAATATTTTACATTGAAAAATATTAAATAAATTATTCAGAATATTTTATTTAAATTATTGAATAGAATTCTACATTCGAAGCACCGGTACGCCAGGTCATGCCTCATTACTTCATGATAATACTGCTGCCGAAAAATTGTTATTCGTGGTAAACAAAATATTGAATTGGAGGACAGAGGAAAAGTTAAAATTGTCCCATGGTATGGATATCGGAGACGTTACATCTGTGAATATGACAATATTGGATGGGGGATGTCAACTAAACGTTGTACCTCCAGAGCTTTCTGCTGGTTTCGATGTTCGATTGGCTACAAATACAGACCGCCGTGCTATAGAGGATATCATAATTGGATGGTGTCACGAAGCTGGCGAGGGCGTAAGGCTAGAAGTTTTCAAAACAAATGAACAGACCATACCCACTAAACTAGATGATTCAAATCCCTGGTGGTTAAAGTTTAAAAGTGAATGTGAGAAAATGTAAGTTTTACTTTATTAATTGTATTCTGTATGTAAGTTTATTATTCATTATTAACATTATTATGTGATAATGAGTTTTAATGCTAATCTTTATATTTATATACCTAAGTATTAAATATGTATATAATATACATGCATTATATATTTAACGCAAGATAATAATACACATAATACATGGTTAATGGTTATCAATTAAATAATATTTAAAGTTAATAAAACTTAAAATATTTGAATTTATAATAAAATTAAATACGGGTAATTACTGATTCTTTTGACAAACACTCATTACTTTAAAATTCAGTGACGTTTATAAAAATATTGTTTTAAATTACTTCTAGTCGAAATAATAAAAAAATATATATACAATATATATTATATATATATTAGGTTACATAAATATAATATAATATAGGTTATATTTTGTATATATATATGAGCCAATTTGAGAATGAATTGAAAATGTATTTACCTACCTCGAGAGAAATATTTTGACTAATTTTTCTTATTAAATATATTAAATTTAAAATAGTTGTAAATACAAATGCATAGCAAAAATTAGTTAAAAAACTTTATAAATTATAGAACAGCAATTAACTGTTTGATTTAAAAATATTAATGGTTTATTAATTTATATAACTTGAATACTTAACATTAAAAACATATAGTTAAATTCATTTTATAATATAATATATTATTTATATTATTAAAGCGTAAAAACAATACACTAGCAATATTATTGTTATATAATATTATATAGGTCAAGTTCGAAAATTGACAGAAGAATAATTTGACCATTGAGTATAAATGTGTGTAATGTAGATGGGTATATATGTATATTTTAATATTATATACACGCCTTGATGATTTGACCTATGCAGGGAGTAGCTGCCAAAGTACATCCACTAATTTATCTATAGATTGTATAGGTATAGATAAATATTTTTTAAACATAAATACAGGAGTCAATGGTCAAAAAGTAAAAATGCTTCTTTAATTGTCATGCATGTAGTGTGTGTACACATAATTATTATAGATATATACAGATCATATGTTTATAATTTTATAACTTATAGGTATACAATCATTACATCCTTAAAAATAATAATTAATATTTTAAAGTTATTAAATAATTTGTACTTAGCCACTTAAGTATAATAAATTGTTTAGTTATAATTTAAATTAGTCAATTAAAATTACTCTTTATTATTTTTAAGATATCTACTTAAGTCTTAAAGACAATTACATTTATTGGTATAAAAGAATCTAATTGACATAGCCGATATAGGTATATAATACTTTACTACCTTAGTAGTTATATAGTACCTAAATCTTTTGCTATTACATGTTAAGATATAGGTACCTACAGGCTTACAGCCTACATGTGACTTACAATGTTATTAGTTAACAATCTTTCAACTTAGAAAACTAAATTTTAAATATCAAATACCAAATTCAAATGAAAAAAAAAAAACAAAGAGTATTTACACTATATACAGATATATCGATACATTATGTTTATGTTTTGTTTCTACTGAATACAGTTGACATAAGAATCAAAACTATTATTTTTATTTTCAATACAATTATTATACAACGGGCTACACCTAATGTTGCTACTACATAAATTACACACGATTTCGATAACGTTCGTATAATTGCTTATTCCCGGTTAGGTTAGGTCCGGTTAGGTTTGCACCGGTAGAAGCACACATATTAAATAAAACGCTCATGGCGTAATGGTAACATTCTAGGTGTCGCACAAATTAACAGAAAGACCCCCCCGCCAAAAGATATAATATACATGTCAAAATATTCTACTACTCTTCTCACGGTTAACAGGTTTACCTGTCTATGTGTATAATAATTCAATTGTATTAACTATGTCATATTAAATATTAATCAACTGCAGCAAGGATAATATATCTGTTAAGAAGAATACGTATACTACAGTCCATAGGTTTAGCATAGGTTTGAGTACAATATTATTTTCAGGGCTAGATTAAGGTTTTTGTCACATAATATAATTTATGTTACGGGCAAAGTATATAATTTGGGCGTTTTATACAATGCCTATAGAATGTAAAATACGGAAAATATTATAGTATAAATATATTATATATCATTATTCATTTGATTTTGACTATACTTGACGATTAAATATTATAATATATTATATAATATAATATAAATTGCCCAGTATATGAAGGGCATTTTGTACAACACTCGAGCATTGTAGAAAATGCCCAAATTGTCTTGTAACATAAAATTTATTCAAATTCAGCTACCATTTATTTTGAAAGCTATGAATATTGGTATTATTTCACATCGTGTTTTATTTAAATTCCATGTTTTTATATTTTAAATTAAAAAAAAATAATATCTCAACGTCATTTTTGGATTACACCATAAAAAAAAAATAAATAGCTACTTTGTTTTGACCTTTAAAATTTGCACACTAGGCTATAAGTCTAAACATCCTACGTGATAATATGGCTCTAAATATTTTTATACCAATATAATATAATTTTGTTTGTACATTTGTAATTAATTTTTTTTACAAATAGTGCTTAATTATCTTATATATTTTTTGCAGGAAGTTAAAACTAAAACCATCTATTTGTCCTGGAGCCAGTGATAGCAGATACATCAGACTAGTAACTAAAAAATATAAATTAATTTAATAATTAATAACAGTATATTACTGTATATAAATGTTTAATTAATGTAATAACTAATAAGTTCACCCTACTACACAGTACACAAGGTACCTAAAATCTAATTTTGTACATTGCAATGGTTCCAAAATCTTTTTAGAATTATAGTTAAATTATATACATATTGAATTTATAATATGCTTTTGTTTACAGATTGGTATTCCTGCATTTGGATTCTCTCCAATGATGTATACACCTGTGCTTTTACACGATCATGATGAATATTTGAATGAAAATACGTTTTTGAATGGAATCAATATTTATTATAACATAATCAAGGGTTTAGCAACTGAATAAAATCTGTTATTTATCTTCCATCATTTAAAAGTAAAAAACACTGAATTATTGAAAAAAATAATCTATGATTAAAATGATAATTTATTGTTTAAAAAAAATTACTTAATAAAAATACTATTTTACAAACTGTTTTTCAAATTATTAAAATTTATATAAATTTATAAAATTAATCTTTTAAGTTTTTTTTAACTTACTCTCAAATCCCTCAGTAGATACTAATATAAATATATTTATACATGCTACATAGGTAGTATTTAAGTATATTTATATATTTTTAACAAAAAAAAAATAAACCTTCTCTTGTAAATTTAAGCTTTTTCGTTCTAAAGTCTAAAAATCATTAATATCATATTATAAATAGTATGTAATATAACATAGGTCATACATTTTTTTTTTGCATATTATAACACAATATTTAATTATAATTTATAAGTATTAATTATAGGACTTATACTAATAGTGGGATGCAAAAATCTATGATTATTAAAGATTGTAATACTGTATACTTAGGTATTTACTATTTAATTAATAAATAACCCATCAAATTCGATTTCTATCAGATACACATTATATTAATAATCTATCAGTTTTCAGTGCCGTACACCAATAATAATTGGTTATATTTTGTATATACATGAGTCAATTTGAGAATGAATTGAAAATGTATTTACCTACCTCAAAAGAAATATTTTTACTAATTTTTCTTATTAAACATATTAAATTTAAAATAGTTGAAAATACAAATCCTATAGTAAAAATTAGTTAAAAAACTTTATAAATTATAATATCAAAGCCCCTTGGTTTGTCACAAACGCCACTCTACATGAAGACCTCAAAGTTCCACCCATAAACCAGATAGCAGCCATTTACTACCAAAGACTCCACTCTAAAATGTAATGCCACGCAAATAAACTCATAGCTCAACTACAATCAAAATTTCTTCCAGGCAACCCTGCTCGGCATCTAAATCGAAAATGGTCCAGAGACCTTCTCAATAATCGAACATAAACTTAAGACTCATGTAAAGGTAGCTCTACTGTAAGCCTCCCTTTTCACCGACCCATCACTGTCATCCTTCCCTCAAATTTACTCATTATATATATATAATATAGATTGTAAATATTCAATGAACGTTATATTTAAGTATATATATATAATATAGCAATTAACTGTTTGATTTAAAAATATTAATGATTTATTCATTTATATAACGTGAATACTTAACATTTAAAAACATAGTTAAATTCATTATATAATATTATATATTATATATTAAAGCGTAAAACCAATAACTTGCTATATTATTGTAATATAATATATATAAATAGGTCAAGTTCGAAAATTGACAGAGGAATAATTTGACCATTGAGTATAAATGTGTATAATATAGATGGGTGTATAGTGTATACGTATATAATATTATATTTATATACACGTCTTGATAGTTTGACCTATACAGGGAGTAACTGCCAAAGTACATCTACTAATTTATCTAAAAAATGTATAGGTATAGACTATAGATAAATATTCTTTAAACATAAATACAGAAGTCTATAGTCAAAAAGTAAAAGTGCTTCTTTAATTGTCATGCATATAGTGTGTGTACACATAACTAATTATTATAAATATATACAGGTCAAATGTTTTTAACTTTATAATTTATAGGTACACAATCATTACATCCTTAAAAATAATAATTAATATTTTAAAGTTATTAAATAATTTGTACTTAGCCACTTAAGTACATATAAATTATTTATTTATAATTTAAATTAGTCAATTAAAATTACTTTATTATTATTATAAATTAATAATTATTTTTGAGATATCTATTTAAGTCTTAAGGGCAATTAAATTTATTGGTATGAAATAATCTAATTAATATAGATATATTCTTCACTACTTTAGTATAGTTGGTACCTAAATTTTTTGTTATTGCATGTTAAGACGTGGGTACCTACAGCAGTACGCCTTCATGTGACTTAAAATGTTATTATATAGTTAACAATCGTTGCACTTAGAAAACTAAATTTTAAATATCAAATACTTATTTGAAAAAAAAAACAAAGAGTATCTACACTACATGCAGATACATTGGTAAATCATATATATGTCTTGTTTCTACTGAATATAGTTGATATTAGAATCAAAAAAATTATTTTTATTGTCAATACAATTACTATACAATGAGCTACACCTAATGTTGCTACTACATAAATCACACCACCGCGATTCTGATAACGTTCATATAATTGCTAATTTCCGGTAACTGGTTCCCACCGGTCGATGCACACACATTACTTTAAACGCTCATGATGTCATAGTAACATTCTAGGTGTCGCACAAATTAACAGAAAGACCCCCATGCATCCATAAAGGCCCTTACATACTACATAGACAAATAGTTCTCGCACGAATTTTTTTTTTTTTTTTTTTTAGTGCTTTTATTTTAAACATTACAGCACAAATCGCTGCGAATATTTACCCAAAATTATGCATATGTGATCAATCGCGGGCGATGGCGGATTTTATTTGCTCACTCTATTTAGTGTGTATGGTCTATAATTTAAAATAAGCTGTTTAATTTTTAACAAACGTTCTCGGCGATTTAAAATCGCATCTGCTTCCGATCTATTCGCCTAGTGTGTAAGGGCCTTAAGAAATATACATGACAAAAATATATTATTAAAACAAATAACAATCATAACATGTATATAACACTGTATTATGAATAACAATAATAATAAAGAAAAATCAACACTGGTGTATTTTGAAATGTATTAACGAACTCGTGATCTATTCCTACCTATAATAGGACCATACACACAATTATTAAGTGAAAGCTGAGCATCTAAATATAATATTATAAATAATTATAGTCACTTATGAATTTGTATAATGTTTTCTTAAATGTACAATGAAGTAAATACAGTATAGCCATTAGTCAGTATAAGTAAACGTTTAGTTTAAAACTACGAGTATGCTTCAAGATTGTATCTCAAATCTGAATATTATTATCAATACCTATTGAATGAGATATTATGTTGTCAATTTGTTAAAAAAATTATTAAATTTAAATGTACTGTCAATTATAATTTTTATTATACTCATAAGCTAAGTATTTAAATAAACAATTAAATGATCGAATTTTTACTTCAGATTTACAAACCATATAATATAATAAATAAATAAAAATTGTAAATATAAAATTACAAAGATTTTGTATAAAAAATACTTTAGAAATAAACTTAATTAAGTTTACATTTCAGCGAAACGTTGTCGGTGATTTGTTTACTAAACCTAATGAATTAATCAGAAAAGAACTTACAAAAAACGAATTACGTTAATTTTAACTATCATTTTATCTTAAAAAAAATAACGCTAAGATAATTAACAAAGTTGAAGCTTTTTATAAAAATATTTTATAATTTAATAATTTATAAGATCACATTGTAGACGTTTTGAATAACATTTATAGGATAGAATGAATAAATTTTAAATTAATAGAATTAAAAAACCAATTGAACTTACCAATTACTTTTTTAAGAGTTTTTTTATTTTTCATTATTCATTATAATTCTGCAATTTTTCAGGATATTAATCCTATAATATAAAACATTTATAAATAAGGCCATTCACTAGGCATGCTTAATTGAATGCATAATATTTGAAAAATTTTAGGAATATAAACTATTGACCCCCTAACTTTGAACTAGATCCAATTTTCTACCAGAAATCACTCTCAAAGTTAAAATGTATTTTTACTTCTCCAAAAGGTGACAACAGATAAAAAAAACACACGTCATTGTAAAATCACAACATTCATCACTTCACTCAGAATCTAAAAGAGAGTAATTAGTTAACTATTTGTTGTATTATAGGTCGCATGTAAATTCCACTGATTGCTATCTTTATAGACCTTTTTTAATGTAAATTCCACCAATACAATTTTTTTACTCCAAAAAAAAAATGTAAATTCCATCGATACATTTTTATTTTTATTTAGATATTCGGGATTTCCCCTTTTACATTTATGATAAATTAATTAGTATTATAGCCGTATAGGTATGAATGATATGATATACAATTATTAAACACGCAATAACAATAAAATAATAGTAAGCAATTATAATAGTAAGTTACAATAGATAATAGATATATAATTTATGTACAGATTTCTTATTTACATAGATAATATATTTAAAATGTAGATACTTATATCATTTTTCACACAAATTAAAAAAAAATATGCAATAGTGAATAATGATCATGTCAAGTGACCGTCAAGCTTCTAGTTTCGCTGGTCGCACTATAGTTAGTAGTTACTTATTTTACCATCGTTGGAGTTAACATGTTTTCAGGTCAAAAATACGTACCAGTGAATTTACATGTTTTAAATTCATCCCAAAAATCGACTTCCTATAAATTGGTGAAATTTGCAATCACCCGTTGTATAGTAGGTGTCATTATTATAAGTATTTTTAATTCAATGATAATTCATTGCATATACCCACAAAAAACAATTTTGAGCGAAGATAATCTGTAAATTGTAATCATATTATGTTACTAAGTTAATACTAAATACCTTTATTTTACTATTTTAGGATAAATTTATTTTGCCATTATAGTAATTTATTTTTTTATTATTTATTAGTTATGCAATAAATTGAATTAAATTAAACATAACGTTTATTTATTATCGTGTATAATTAGTATAGTTATAAACTTTTGGGTCAACATCGACTTACCGTAAAATGGTGTGGATATTAGGTTCGTACTTTGTGGTATAAATAGGCAATAAAGCTTAAAATAAATCTAAATATTTTGAAAATATTATTGTGTTTAAAATATAATTATATACGATACGGTTGATACGTAAAACTCGTATAAGTTTTATGTCTCAGCAAGGCCACGGATTTTTGAATAACAACAAAATAACTAAAATTTGTTCTTAATAGATACTAGGAATTTTTAATTTTGACCTCAAAAGTACCAATTATATTTTTTTACCAATAAATATATTTAATTTGGAAATTGTAGAAATCGGAGCATTTTTTTACAAAAAATTTTGAATACAACACAAAGAAGAAACACATATACTATTATAAAATCGCTCCGCTCAAAATCTAAAAATATAATTCAAAGCAAAGGATAGGATTATGATATTGAATTGTGTGAATAAAAATGGTTTGAAAGACTTAATCTTAATTAGTCCAATGCCGCGTTAATGAATCTAATTTAATAATGGCAACACTAAAAAAAAAACAATGAAATTATTTATACTCTTTAATAAAATAAAATACATAAGCTGTTGGGTCATCTATTTCTGGACGGCAGAGCCGAGTATAGAATTGCGTATAATAGTGTCCACGGCTCACCCAATCGTAGTTCACCGTCTCGCGAAAAACGCTCAATGAAAAATTTTAATTGAAAATCAAACAGAAAGACCTATTTTAAAGAACTCTCTGTAAGTGTATTAAGTAAATTATGGCCCTATTACTGCGATCGGCAATCGAAAATTATGGGTACCACCTACCTATATAAAGTATAGCTTCAGCTCAAGGGTGCCCATAGAAAAATTCTTAAGGGGGGGGACAAAATTTTAATTATGTCCATGATATATAGGAAGGGGCTTACAATTTAACGTTATACTATTATGTTTTATATATCAAACTGGAAGATTATGAAATAATAATTATCTAACCAATTAACAATTAACTATAAAATTTATTTATTTAATTTTCATTTAATAAAAATTGTAAATTTCTTTTTTTTAACACCAAATATATTTATTATTTGTTCTATGTATTCATTCGTTTTATCATCAATTTTTTCCCTATGTACGCTGATCATGCACAATCCATGAAGTCTATCTTCACTCATAGTAGATCTTTGTGTAAACAATTTTTCAACATTTTCCAGGGGGGACATGTCCTTTCCTTGCCCCCCCCCCCCCCCATTCGGACACCCTTGCAGTTCAGCCTACAGATACTCACTAATTTTCGAAAGAAGTGAATGTTGTATAATTATTGTTATTATTATAGAATGCTCAGTCATCCTGAATTTATAATCAGAGAAGTCCATTTTTTTATCAAATAATATTAGCCAATATTATTAGTAAATAGTAGGTCACTCTATAATATATTTTGACTACGACTAGACATTCAATAGAAAAAAAGAAAAATTTGCACCAGTTTAAACTGACGAATTTTCGTCAAGAAATCTATATAGCAGCGATTGGTCAAACTCGAAGATGGATTTAATTTGAAACATAACCAAATCATAAATTTTTTTCATTATTGAGAATAATTGTAAATAATTGTTTTTATCAAAAATTAAGTTTTTTTGAGTTTGTTTTAAATATTATATAAAAATTTGAAACAATAGTAATAACAACTCTCCGGGATTTACAAATTACAATTATTGCTTTATGAGAAATGCTAATGCAAGATAGTCCGTGGCCCAATGCCCTACATAGTAATAATAATTATGATAAATGAACAATAACAATTAGTATAACCATAATTATAGGTATCGACCTTCGATTATTGACTTAAAGTGTTAGGTAAGGTGCGTAGTGGGCAGTGGCGTACTGCTACTGCGTAGTGCGTTACTGCTGCTGCGTAGTGCGTACCGTGGTTATGAGATACTTGGTGGGGTGTGGGGGGGTGACAAATAATGACTGTTGATAACGGTACGTAACGATAACAGAAAATAGATAAATAATTTATCAGTAAATAGTAATTGGCGTATAATAATTATTACAATAATTGCGCGGCAAACGAGCGACGGTGGTGCGGAAATCAGACACGCTCTATCGCCTCTATCGCCGAACACGACATGACAAATTATAATAATAATAATAATAATAATAATAATAATAATATTAATAATACATGTATTTTATCATGGTCGGACTCGAGGCGGTTTGTAGACGGCCAAAATTTTGCGAGTTACAGCACAACAGTTGAGTTAAACGAATAGTCGTTCACAGATCACAAGCGTACAGCAACAGCACAGCAGTCAGTAGTGGTTACTGCCACCGGCTTGACGTGCGTGGCGTTTGTTGAATAGTGTTTATTCATTCTTCGCTCTCCTTCGTCAGTTCGTCGAAAACTGCTGTCCTGTTTCGCGATCGGTTGAGGAATTTACGTAAGACACGTACTATAATATTATGACATTATATTATAATCGTTATGTGATATGCTTAAATTTTTTTGAGAGGATAAACGACTAGGTATGTTGCTGTTCTGTCGGCAGTGGCTATTGCGGGGTGACCGAACGAATGAGTATTGCGTATTGTTATAATGTCGTGTAGAATAAATTTAAACGGTCATTAACAATAATTAACAGTCAAATAATTTTACTACCGATTATTAACTCTACGGCACGCACGGACGCACACGTACACATACACACGACATAACACCCATTAAATATTTGCACACATTTAATGATATTCGCGCGCACACGGTGGTTACTATAACATTATGATTTACAAACGTCTTCCGATGTAGTGATGTCTATGCCATATTTCATTGTAATAACAATTGACGAGTTAGTCGTGGACCGTGGTACTGTGCTGAACAATGTAACGTCCGATTCGATATTATTGAGATCTATGTAATTTCGTTGATATTTAAACATACGATACAAATTCAATTTATGAAATTTCAAAAATTTCACGCTTTATATTATTGTTGGTATTGGTATTTGAGTAAATAGGTACTACTCATTATTTGTGTACCCGATTTATTGTCTATTACTAATACCCTGAAGTTGACTGTTTTTTGTTCTAAAATATTTTTACAAAGCATAATTTGAATTGATGGACTGCAAGGGAAAATATTTTGTTGCTATTCAATATCAGGGATTTTGAAATGTGTTATTATTCATTTTAATCATGTGTAGTTGAAAATCAGTGCAAGGATATATATCTTATTAAGTTTTAGGTTTAATTAATATTTTCTTTTATCATTCATGTTTGTTATACAGGCAAACACAATTACCTGTGTTATGATCAATAATGGAATACAATCGGCCAAATAACTAATGTATAATTTAAAATATAATATTATTTTAAAAATATTATGGTGAGAATATTTTTTTGAATGGCATAATATCAGTATTAAATATATATATTTTTTAATTATAAACTGTTTAACCAATAATTTTTATACTTGAATTATTATATACTAAACAAAATATTATATCAATATTTCATATTGATTTTTGTCAAATTTAATTTTAGACAGTTTGAATAACTTCCATTTAATTACATTATCCAAATTTTATAATTGCACTTAGTAACATAGACCTAATCTCCAAATGCCATGATTAAATTGTCTAATTTTTCTAATTAAAATTAGCATAGAATTATATTGGCTTTATTTGAGGTCAAATAAATAACATTAAAATGTATGTTTATAAGTATCTTTATTAAAAAATATATGTACATCTAAAGTTCCATTGAATGGTGAATAAAATATTAAGACAAAAAAAATTAAAACCTATTTCTAACAGTTCATTAGTGTTAATTTTTTTAAATTACAGTTTATATTTTACATCTATATTTATATTTATTTATAATTATTTTATATTCTATACTTTATAACATTTAAATGTAAATCACAAATGTAAACTTTAACTTTATTTGTTAAAATCTTGTAAAAACAAAAAAAATTGTTGAAACAAAAATACTAATAAATAAAAAAAAAAAATTTTAATTCATATTATAATAAGGCTTTATTCATTTATATTATAATTTTAAAAAGTGTATCTGACTCAGTACACATTTTCTTTGGTATGAAATGAAACTAATATAATAATTAATCATAAGTGCTTATAATTTGTTTTGTTAAATTAATTATAAATTTATTTTTGTATTCTTGCTGGCAACATATTTTTTTAAATATTTATTATTAGTAATGGCTTTGTACGGGAATTTGGCTAGGTTTAAATCTTATTTTAAGGTTATATTTATTAATTTATGGACAATGTTTAAATATTTAAAGTAAAAATAAAATTATTATTAACTAAATATTAATTTTTGATAAAAAAATTATCAAGAAATAAATAGGTATCCTTGTTAGAAAATAACTTTAATATTTTGAAACAATTTTAAGTGGTTGGGTAGATGTAGGTAAATACCTAGATAATTAGATTAAGTATTATTTACATTATTAAGTGGTAAATTCTAAGGTATATTTCAGTTTTTTCAAAAAATGATATTCAATTATATTTTTTTGGTAGTAACTAGTTAGTACTAAAAAGTTAATTAATATTAATATTATGATGCAATTCACTAATTAATATTATGATGCAATGTACTAGTATTGTTTAGTTTGTAAATTTGGTAGACAGATTAATAAAATAATACAAATTAATTATGTTTTGTGGTAAATTGCTCAAAGTACATGGTCATTTTATAACTAATACATATTAATTATTGATAAAATAACATAAGTATTCAATGAGTTACAAGTTGTTTATCTTCATAAAATAAAACACTGTTTTCTAATCTTTGAGAGTTTTAATGCACGTTAATTCAAATCTAATTATTTTTAATGAAATCTATTAACAACAGGCAATATTAAAATGTTATTAAATATAATTGAAATAATGGTTATTTTATTTAACTAACATTTAGTTTGTTTGATGAAAAATATAGGCTGAACTTTTAAAAATAAAAAGAAGAAAAATGACTTCTAACACAGATGGCGAGGAAAATGATGCTGTAACTAATTTTCGGGAATATTTACGTATTCCCACCGTTCACCCTGATGTTGATTATAGTATGTACATTTAATTTAAATCATGATCATTAATAATATAAGTAAAAAAATATTTTTTATTTCCTGTAGGTAAATGTGTTGAATTTCTATTGCGTCAAGCACAAAGCTTAAATCTTCCATCAAATATTTATTATATGGCCCCCGGCAAACCAATAGTAGTTATCACATGGCTTGGACAAAAACCAGAACTTCCTTCTATATTACTTAATTCTCATACAGATGTAGTTCCAGTATATCCTGTAAATATTATTATGTTATAAATTCATATAACTATCATTAAAGAGTTATACATTTTTTTAAGTTTAATAAGTGTGTATTCTAACAAAAAGTTGTAGGAAAATAAGTATTAGTATTATTTAAGTATAATTTTAAAATTACACAAATTTGATTAATCTAAAAAAATATTATGTACTTAGTCAAATTGTACAATTTAAAACATCTTGGTTTAGTTTTAAATTTAAACACAATATTTTTTTTTTTTGTAAATACATTCAATAATTACTTACACATTTATATGATTCCCTTGTTTTTGTGTACAGGAATGTTGGACTTACGATCCATTTTCTGCTCATAAAGATAAAAACGGAAACATTTACGCTAGAGGAGCACAAGATATGAAATGCGTTGGAATACAATACATAGAAACAATACGAAAATATTTAAAAGAAAAATTAGTTTTTGATAGGACTATCCATTTGTCATTTGTGCCTGGTTTGTGTGTTTTTAATTTGTACTAACATTATGATGATGAGTCTTATTTATATTTTGTTTTAGATGAAGAAATAGGTGGACATTTGGGAATGAAATTATTTATTAGGTCACCTGAATTTGCATCATTAAATGTTGGTTTTGCATTAGATGAAGGATTGGCTAGTAACGATGATAGTTTCAGCATATACTATGGGGAACGAACTCTATGGCGTTAGTAATATCAAACATATTTAAATTTATTATTGATTTTTTTTTTTTTTTGTATTGATAGTTCTCCAAATAAAATGTCTTGGTACTCCTGGACATGGTTCGATAATGCATGATAATACAGCTGGAGAAAAGTTGCATTATATCATAAATAAATTTATGAATTGGAGAGAACACGAAAAATTAAGAATGAAGAATTGTAAATTGAATGTTGGAGACGTTACATCAATAAATTTAACAATGGTAAATGGAGGATGTCAAGTAAATGTAGTGCCACCAGAGTTGACAGTTTGTTTTGATGTACGATTGAGTATTGCTGTAGATGTTACGACAATAGAAAACACTGTTAGAAAATGGTGTGAGGAAGCCGGTGAAGGTGTAACTTTGGAGTTTATCTCTAGAAGCCCATGCGTTAAACCTACTTTACTTGAACCAACAAACCCGTGGTGGGTTACATTTAAAAATGAATGTGATAAAATGTAAGTATTAAAATCAAATTATAGTTATTTTTTAATTTGTCGAAATGTTATTACAATTTTTATTGTAATGAAATATTACTTTTACTCTGTGTCAAGAATTAACACAATAACTTACAAATCTAAATTATATATAACTTATAAAATTTTCCCACCATAAGGTTAATATTTATTATGAGAATTCATATCAAAAGATGTGTTTTGGTTAACCACTATATTTCTGACATAGAGTATAATAATATAGTTTTTAATCAATCATTCTAGTTTTAATGTTATAAAATGGTAATAACATTAACTGTTAATTTGTATCAAATATAATTTTTTTTATGAGAAACTAATATTTATTTTTTATTTCAGGAATTTAAAAACAAAAACATATATATTTCCTGGTGCAACAGATAGTAGATATATTAGAGAGGTATTTTTACAATATAATAATATATATCTGAAATGTTTAAAAGATTGTTGTATCCACGTGTGTTGAAACTGTCTTACTAACGCATAACATCCCAAAATGAACTTTTAGCAGTTATAATTTTATCTTGTTAGCTTTAATATTAGAGTGGATTGACCGATTATCAAACTTAAAGATAAGAATATTATCTGTGTTCTCTTGTTAATGTTTTAATTATTAAGCTATGAGTTTTTTAAAATATTAATATTTAACATACTTGCTTAAAAAACATCTAGAGAATACAAATTTTGTTCTTACTTTTAAGGTTTCTCATAAATTAATTCACTCTAATATTAAAGCTAATTACACAAATTTGGAACTTCTAAACATATAGTTTAGTATGTTATTAAGACGGAGATAACACATATTATGTTTATGGTGTCATTGAATTTTTGTTTATTCAAAATTAAAATGCTATTAAATCGTTTCACCTAACTAGATATTTTTGAAAGTTACTTTTTAGTATTTAATTTTAGACTTATTTAGATCTTTTATAAAAATAACTGTTGTGCATAAACAGTTATTAAAAGTCTCAGTTATCAATATTGAATATTTATTTTTTAATTACAGATTGGTATTCCAGCTTTAGGATTTTCGCCAATAAATAATACTCCTATTCTTTTGCATGATCATGATGAGTTTTTGAATGAGAAGACATTCCTGGATGGCATAGATATTTATTATAACATTATTAAAAGTCTTGCATCTGTTTGAATTATGGTTATTTTATTTATCTTAGTATGTTAATTAATTTTAGTGATGAAAAATTATAATAATTGTTATTAATTCTAAGAATGTTATACTTGTAATTTTACTTAGTAATAATAAAAAAAAAAACAATAAACAATAAAAGTTTAATTTTAACAAAATTAAGTGAGTATTTTTGTTATAAATGTAATATTTAAATAATATTTAATTAATTATCATTCTTTAAAAAAATGAGGTACAAAATAATTGATGTGTTTGCTCAATAGTAAATTTATATATTTAAAACATTATTATTTAATAAGTTTATTTTAATAAATTGTTTTATTGTTTATTCAAAATTTGTGAAATGTTAATAATAGGCTATTTAATTTTAATTTTAATTAGAAATTTTACAACTAAGCAAAAAGTATTGCAGACAGTATTAATTATATTTTCTATACTCAAGCGAAATTCAAAAACTAACATTGTTTTATAAATTGATGTATGAATTACACCACCTTGATAGTTAATAAAATACTTTAAAAGCTTAATTTTGTGTTACTGTTTTTTATCTAATAATAAATTAAAAAATAACAACTAATAATCCAACAACAAAATTTCTGTTTTAGCTAATATAGCCCGAACAATATTTACTTCTAAATATTTTTGTGGCTGTATTTTTTTTTTTATTATTTGCTAACAGCACTTGAGTTTTTAAAAATTCTTGAGGAACCTTAAACTTCACTAATACTCATGTACTGTGGTCATAACTGTCACGGAATACTATAAAAATAATATGCTATTAGATATTGATCATGAACAACTGTTGTATAGTAGAGTACTAGTTTTGTAAAGTATTTGAATGAAAGTATCGAAATGCCTTTTTAAGGTTTGAGAGCACATACAAAAAAAATATACTAAGAGTAGGTACATTTGATTTTGTTTAATACTAATATTTCAACTTTTAACTTGGTATGCAGAAAATAGGCAAATAAAAAAATAAAAATTAATTGATTGAGAGAATAACGATTGAATGTTACATATTTACAAATACATGTTTGTATTTCTAATATTAGAAATATAGATTATAGCAGTGTTTTTCAACCAATTTATCGCCAATTAAGCCCAAATGTGTCACAAAGAATATTATTTATATTATTCAAATATTTTTGATATGATCTACAAAAACTAGTAGGTAATTTTTATAATGATTAAAAATAAGTTTTCTGTTATTGACATATTTTATATTACCAATTAAAATTAAATTCATTATTCTTATTTGTTAATTGTATGCTACAAAGTATGAAATATTTTAATAGTATGTCGCTTTAATACAAAGGTCGGGAAACATTGGATTATAGATTATAAAAAATATTTATATCCCTCGTTAATCATACTGTTGTCCTCATTAAACACAAAATTAATGAGTGACAAAATTCACTTGATTTCATACATCATTAATTGAAGAAGTGATGAAATTATCAATTAATACTGAATATTATCGTTAATCTACTTTTTTTTTTCATCTTTAATTCAATTTATCAAGGCCATCAAGTAATGCACAGTTCATTTTATATCATAATTAAATCCACTTAATGAAATTATCTTTTTTATTATTCATTACAAATCTAGGTATTAACAAATTAAAAATTTATTATTTTATATTTAGTAATAGTAGAATATCAAATACTATGTAGTGAGCACAATTTAAGATATCTTTAACTGAAATAGTGAGCATTATCTGTTAAAAAATAAAATAGTATTGAAGTTTAAACTTATTTATTGTCATATACATATACAATTAATTTTTGAAAGTCTAAAATTGTATAATGACTTCAACAAATCCACTTGAACATGAATCTGTTACTTTATTCAGAGAATATTTACGTATACCAACAGTTCAACCAAACGTCGACTACAGTTTGTATTTTTAGTTTTAATCTAAATACTTAAATATTATAATAATCATTGATACATTTAATAAATAAATATTAATTAGTTAGATCTTATAAACAGGTGAATGTATAAAGTTTCTTGAACGTCAAGCCCATAGATTAGGTCTCCCATTAAACATTTACAATATGGCTCCTGGCAAACCAATTGTAATTATAACATGGGTAGGACAAAAACCTGAATTGTCATCAATATTACTCACCTCGCACATGGATGTTGTTCCAGTGTATTCAGTTAGTAAATTATTTTTAATTTATATATGTAGATATTGAAACTCGCTTTGTATGTTATCTACAACTTTTGTTTCATGTTTTCAAAGAATTGTTCTAAAAGGTTTTTGAATGTATTGAGTAACCATCACTCTTCTGTCAACTGCTGTTTTAATAATTTGGTGGTAGCACAACATATTTTTGTCATATTTGACTTTGACATGTATCTATGTAGATTCTATAGACTGAGTATTAACTCATGTATTTGGGTCAATGAAATGAGGTTGGTGATTAACAGTTTGATGCATATAACCGTGGACACTTAAATTGCTGCAAGTCATCCATTCATCCGATTGAATTGTGGACCCAACTTCTAGTTCACATTTAATAATAGGAAGTAACATAGCTCTATCTCTTTTTTCAACTATAAAAAATCTTTAGTTAGTAATACCATCTCTCATTTACTGTATCTGAACAATGTAGATAACATACAACGCGATCAATGCTCATGTAGATAGCATACAATGAGAGTTCCTAGATTTTAGCTTGAAGATTTGTTTTAGGAGAAATGGATACATGATCCATTTTCTGCTCATAAAGATGAAAATGGAAATATTTATGCTAGAGGAGCACAAGATATGAAATGTGTTGGCATTCAATATTTAGAAACGATCAGAAAATATATTATAGAAAATCTTAAATTGAAAAGAACTATACACATATGTTTTACACCAGGTCAATATAATTATTAAATTGTTTTTAAAAATAAAATTAATGCATTAGTAAATTTAGATGAAGAAATTGGAAGCAAGTTTGGTATGGCTAAATTTGTTACAACCCCGGAGTTTGCAGAACTAAATATTGGGTTTGCTCTGGATGAAGGGATAGCAACACCCCATGAAGCTTTTAATGTTTATTATTGTGAAAGAACTTCTTGGTGTAAGTTATATACCAGTTTACTATAAAATTACAATTTACTTTAAAATAATGATTCCATTTTTTTTTATAGATTTAACTATAACTTGTACTGGCCAGACTGGACATGGTTCAATATTACATGAGAATACAGCTGGAGAAAAATTACAATACATAATCAATAAATTTATGAATTGGAGAGAATATGAAAAAAATAAATTAATTAACAGTGATTTAAGTCTGGGAGATGTGACAACTATAAACTTAACAATGATTAATGGGGGATGTCAAGTAAATGTTGTGCCAACTGAACTATCAGTTACTTTTGATATACGGTTAGCAATTGATGTAAATATTGAAAAAATGAAGAAAACTGTACAAGAATGGTGTTGTAATGCGGGTCCAGGTGTCTACGTAAAATTTAAGGATAACCCAATACGTGTTAGACCAACTAAAATTGATAACAGTAATCCATGGTGGATTGCATTCAAAAATGAATGTGATAAAATGTATGTTTAATTATAGATAAGTTTTTGTCTTGAAATAAAATCAAATATTATTTCAGGGACATAAAAATCAATACTTATATATTTCCCGCAGGAACAGATAGCAAATTTATAAGAAATGTAAAGTATAAAAATATTTAATTTACAGTATTATAATAATATCATATATTTTAAAATATTAATAGGTTGGCATACCGGTTTTGGGATTTTCTCCAATGAACTATACAAAAATTTTACTGCATGATCATAATGAATTTCTCAACGAGAAAACATTTATAAAAGGTTTGGATATTTATTACAATATAATTAAAGGACTTACATCAGTTTAAAATTCAAATTATTAATAATAATTTTATTTACTATTAATTAAAAATATAATTGAAAAAAAAAAAGCATTAATTAATAAAATATAAAAGAATGGTTTGAAAATCTATTAGTGTTTTGTTATACACATATTTAAATTTCTTACCTACCAACCAAACAAATATTCCAAAGTTTTTGTAACAATACCATTTGAAGTTGTAGCTGAAGGAGAGTTCTATTAAAAATAAAACAATTTATTTTTTAAGAATTATATAGATAGTACAATTGATTTGTTGATAAATCAATAAGAAAACTTACATTTTTTCCTTGAATAGGTATAGGTTTTATAGCCATTGGTCTAATATTATTTCTCTTAGAAATAGAATCATTTGGACTTGAAAATTGTTGACCTAAAATTGGTGAACGCAGAGATTTCGATAAAATTTCAGTACTTGGTCCTGGATGTGAATCAGTAGGGCTAATATTTTCATTTAAAATTGTCTAAAAAGTAATGTATTCTGTAATATATAAAATATATTATAGTTGTCAAATAATATCTTTTACCTTATCATTACACGGAATAACTCCAATCATAGCCCCATTATTGGTTACATGACCATTAAATAATAGAGCTCGATGATAATCTGTAGAATCACTAAAACATATGTGTGCCCAATTTGGCCCAGCTTCTCTCACATCACAACATGACACCATGTGTATAAATTTAGATAATATTTCATCTTTATTTGAAATTGAATAGCCAAAAACTGTAATCCAACACCCTGGAGTAGTTTTAGGTTGTTCAAACAGATTGTTTTTATCAGAGTAAAATTGTTTGTTTTCTTTATTGTTACACCTGAATCAAAAAATAAAATAAAAGAAGTTTGTATAAAAATATAGCAAATGATCACTTAAGTTAAATTAAGAATATAAAATAGGTATAATAATATTTACTGTTCTTCTCTATAGTCAGAAGTATTGAGCATATCAAATAAATCAATTGTTGGAGCTTTTGTTGGTTCATCATTGACTCTATTTAAAATTGGAGTGGAAGATCTGAAAAAAGCAAACAAAACACTGTAATAAAGTATTCTTTTAAAATCAATCATTGTCTTATACTGCGTACGGCTTATCGCTTAGTTCGTGATGAAAATTTCGCATTAAAAATGTAGTGTGTACATCTGAGGTATGGCTACGATTAGCACGTAATGGAGACATGGTGCTGATTGAAACATTACCGATCGGCGATTGTGCACGTTCACCCATCAAGTAACCTGGAAGATATGTAGGTTTCTGTGGACTGTCGTGCGACGGTGATCCCAAAGCCATAGGTTCCATTTCGTAATTCAGTCGCTTGGATAACGAATAAAATATTTTGCACAACGATCTCTAATGATATCCTAACGAGTAGATTTGAATACGGTATCGCGAGTAGAATATTTTTTAGTGCAAATGATTAACTCTAAGTACGCCGTAAGGGTTTTGACGAGAACAATAATAAAAAAAAAAAAATTCAAATGTTATGATTTGAATGTTTAGTGATAAAGAAAAAAATTACAACGGATAACGGAAACTACTACTAGAGTCGCTGTAATCACTATATTTTTTTATAGTCGGTGCGACTGTGCCCCGTTGTAAAATATATTACAATTATTCATATAATTTAAAAATCGTCAAATCCGTAAGGAGCGCGAGGCCTCCGTGGTAGGGATGAGACAGAAGCGCCAACTTGATGAATGAAAAAGTAACGAAACCGAAAACGCAAAAACCTTTTTAGTTTTTATTATTATATCGACGCGTTCCGTTTACTTCCCTGAAGTCCTTGACACGACGTTATCCATAAATAGCAATGTGCAGTCGTGTAATCGTTATTCTACGGCATTAGTGTGCGTGTACAAACTCTAGAATATATAGTAACTACTAACTACGAGTGTGGAGTGGTACTATAACTATAGTACGACGCCCGTGAGTCGTCTCTCTTTCCTGTTGTACTAACTACTGATAGTTGTAGGTAGTCAGTTTCCGGAACGTTCTAATTTCGGTGCGTAGGAGTACCTGCCTGAAACGCCTCCAGTTTACTGAATATGAAGTGAGTAGAAAAGAAAATTATCAGATTGAGCGCACACCCATTTATTATTATTATAATCTCAGTCCACGTCCTCGAGTTTCATTCATTCGAGTACCTATCTACATTTCGTTGTTTTTTCCTCTCCACAGGGTACGATTTCCATTTTCTACGGCGGACGAATAACGACTACATTAAATCTCGATGCCTGGGTAAGTGTCACATCTCCAGACCACGGTCACGAAACCAATCCATCTTAACTGACTGATATCCCGTTTCAGCGTAACCATGTCGTTTAGTAACATGTCATGCTCCCGTTGTGGGGATGGTTTTGACCCGCACGACAAAATTGTCAACTCACAGGGAGAGTTATGGCATCCACAATGTTTTGTGTGAGTAGTGGTTCTAGATTAATTATTGTTTCGGAGTAAACACAATGGTATAATTTACTAATGATATCTTATTTTTCGCTCACAGATGCTCTCAGTGTTTCCGGCCATTCCCTGATGGTCTGTTTTATGAATTTGAAGGTCGCAAATACTGTGAACATGACTTTCAAGTACTTTTTGCACCCTGCTGTGGTAAATGTGGTGAATTTGTCATTGGACGTGTCATAAAGGCAATGTCTGCTTCGTGGCATCCAGCCTGCTTCTGCTGCGCAGTATGCAACAAGGAATTAGCTGACCGCGGATTTGTTCGCAACCGCAATAGAGCTTTGTGTCATGAATGTAATGCTGCAGATAAAGCAGTTTTGTCGGGTAGACACATATGTTTTAAGTGCCAGTATGTGAAAATATGGAAAAAAATTAACTGTTTTCAACTGTACTCTAAATTCCTAATATCTTATTGGTTTTAGTGGTGTTATTGATGACAAACCATTACGGTTCAGAGGTGAGGTCTATCATGGCTATCATTTTAATTGTACAGCTTGTGGTATTGAACTGAATTCAGATGCTCGTGAATTGAAACATAGATCTGGTTATACAGCTAACGAAATGGTATAAATCAAAATTATATTAATATTGAAAATAAAAATATTGTATTTGATTATATTATTTTTAGAATGAGTTGTATTGCTTGCGATGCCATGATAAGATGGGTATTCCAATTTGTGGTGCATGTCGACGACCCATTGAAGAACGTGTAGTAACAGCACTAGGAAAACATTGGCATGTAGAACATTTTGTTTGTGCAAAGTGTGAAAAACCGTTTTTGGGCCATAGGCATTACGAAAGAAAAGGCTTAGCTTATTGTGAAACTCATTATCATCAGTTGTTTGGTAACTTATGCTTTGTTTGCAATCAAGTAATTGCTGGTGATGGTAAGTACAAAAATTTATTTGATAAATTTGAATTTGTCATTAATAATTATTTTAATTTTCAGTGTTTACCGCTTTGAACAAAGCTTGGTGTGTACATCACTTTGCTTGTTCATTCTGTGATCAAAAAATGACACAAAAGACAAAATTCTATGAATGTGACTTGAAACCAGCATGTAAGAAGTGCTATGAAAAATTCCCATCAGAATTTAGGCGTAGATTACGCAAAGCGTATGATAATACACCAAAAAAATCTACATCTGCTTGAAATTTTCCATAACTTTTATAAGTTATCACAGTATTTTTATCGGTAACATAATAAATCAAGAAATTAAAATATTAACCAATGACAATCACAAATTCTAATTAGCAATTTTGCTATAAAATTTATAATAATTTATTGTTAGTCATGTTTGGCATTAAATTGTGCTATTTGCATAAGCTTGTTGTTTTCTAAATAATTTGCAAATTTGTTAGGACACATTAACATAAATTTAGATAATTATTTTTATACTCATAATTTTTATTAAATATTTTGTTTATTTATTAAAAAGATTATTAATAAATTCATATTTTATATATTAGACATTTTTTTGTTTTATCGTAATTTAAATAATCATAATTTTAATTTGATGTATTGATTTGTTTAATAATTTTACAAAAATATAAATTAATTTAATTATAGACTAATTAATATTTGTGTTTTATTTCATGTGAATTTTATACTTGCAGTTATTTAATTGTTTTCTATAATCATATGTCTAAAGAATTTTCTTGGGATTATAAATTGTTTGAATAGATCTTAAGTATGCAAAATACTTATTTATTAATAATTCTTTTATACATTGTATCTAGATACTTTGTTTAAATTAGAATGTATGATTTAAAATGTGGTGTTGCACAGTTTATTTCAATGCCGTGTTATAAAATATAAATGAAATAATAGTACTTTTAGTAACTAATAAATAGAATTTATTTTTATAAAAACTCAAATTTCCTACAAGCAATTTATATTTATTTTAAATTTTGTCTGATGTTTGTATTACACTATAAACTATTACTTATTTAGCTGGGTTCAGTGGGATTATAGTTTTGCCATGTCCCAAAGTTGAGTTAGGCCTAATTTATTTTTAGTGAATTATAACCATAACAACTACAAAATAGAAAATTATATTTACACTAAGTGACAAACAATATATTCTAAGTCTCATACTCATGATTAATGAAAATATTTCTACTTTATCAAGGAAAATGTAGTTTTAAAAAAAGTTTAAAATAATGAATAATTATTCAAAAGTTGTACTATTAGGATTATAATAATCAATAGTTTTCTATCTCGCACTAACTGTTAATTATAAATTAAATTCACTGCCACGGACAATATAAGAATTATGATGAAAATTTTAAATTTACAATTTACGAATGTCGCAATAATAACATCTCACACCACTGTTCATTGTTTATTCAAACGACACTATTTAGTGCGCTTACAAACTAAATGACAAATGCCGCGACTGACCAGTGCCTTAATATCACTTCTCCGCTCAACGTGAATACAGTGTGTGAACTTCTTTTAAAGTGAGTGGTGACAAATTTTCTAGGAAAAATAAAATATGTTTGGAACGTTTATAGATGTCAATACAATGATATAAGGCACTAAGGCATCCAACAGAGTGTAATTTGCCCATGTACTATGTAGGTACTCTAGTACTCTACTCACTAATCACCACGGGTTTAGATCTAAAGCCGTGCTAATCACTATTCACTATTCAGAATTTATTATTTAATATTTTATGAAATAGTCGTTCGCTCATTCGTCAGTTCGTCACTAGTCACTACTTTTTGGAGCGCATTCTAGCGGTTACGTGAATTTCCAGATCACCTAAATCAGTTATACGTGATTATGCGGTCCGTAGTCCGTACCTATTCGTCAGTTACGATTTCCAGTGTGCTAATCATGCGGTGATTGGTCGGTTGTCCGAAAAATGATAAGGACATTGTGTTAATATTATTATTTTGTCCGGCCCTCTTTCGTATCATTCGAATTTCGATTCTTCTCAAGATTAAACAACAACTATATGAAAATTGAAAAGTAAAAAGTCGTTATTCATGAAACCACGACAGTTCTTATTTAGTATTAGTATTTACTATTTTTACTTGTCGATGATAACATTTGTTTGAACTTTGAATGTTGAATAGTATATATTGAAATACTCTTAAGTCTAGTAATTAACGCTTAATTTCATTATATTGTTTAATTTTTACAACTTTTCTCATGGCTGATGATTGTAAGTATGAACAAAATAATATAATTTGTTATGTTGGTGATGGCGACGGTTGTCTAATTTATTCTAAGTAGGACCAATTGAATAAAAGAATAAAGCATTAAACTTATTTATATTAATGTACTATTTTGTGTGTAAGGAAATTGATAAGTATTCTAGATAGTCCTGATATGTGTGGGCTTGTTTCTGTTTTTGAATTTATAAGGCCACAGATCATAAAGTTTATGAAATTTTTAATACTGTTATTTAATTAAACTAATTCAATCTAATTAATTATTAATTGTTTTAATTGTTTTCTTTATAGTTGATTTATCTTGTACCAACAAGTTTGAAGTGGAACTGGGCTCATCATTAAGACATTGTTGTAATGCTTCTCGTAAACTAAAACAGCTGACTTTAAATGCTGCTAAGTTAAAAATAAATAATCAAGTATGATATTGTTGAAGATGACAGTTACTTATTTTTTAATCTATTATAAGTTACTTATTTATGCTATTGAATTTTATCACTGATATTCATGGCATCTATTTTTTATTTTTGATTAACTTAAAATGTATAAAATATATTGCATTATTATTTTATATGTATATTATAAGATTTATTTAGATTCTAAACGTGTTTATTTTTAGATAAACCTGACGTGTAAAGAAAATGACATCGACCTGAGTGTTAAAAATATTTTAGATGAAGTACAAAATTTACGTGGTAAATTAAGTACTATCGAAACAACGTTTGATTGCTCGGATAAGGTTAGTATTACTCATAAATTTATAATAAATATTAAATAAAAATAATATTTATTCCTTAAATTTTATAGACTGTATTCAATCTTGGAGAAACTGTTCAAGAGCTTGAGAGTGTTGTAAACATTGTATCAAAAAACAAAAACACAATTTTTTCTCATCGTATGTTTATTTTTATTTGCATTAATATATTGTTGATAATTAAATTTTTTTTTCAGGTAATCTTTTATAATTTATCTTAGTTAATTTAGTTATTAAGTAGTTTAAAAATTATCACAGTTATAATGTCATTTAAACGTGTGTGTGATGGATCAGGCAGTGATTTACTCAAAAGTCTTGAGGTACCGTTTTAATTTTAATTACTTATTAATTATTCTTAAAATACATAGTATGATTACAATTTCATAATGATTATGTTTTTTAATAGTCACAAAGAATTAAAGAATTACTCGGCATTCAAATACCCGATGGTGAAGCTAAATTATTATCTAATGGGAAATTGACTTGTATGATTTGCATTCAGAGACCAATTTTTGATACTGTTAATGTACTCTCAATTCATAGACAAGGAAAAAAACATTTAAATGGTATGTTTGAAAAGAAAACTAATTTGATTATATTTTCAATAATTCATTGACATGATATGGGTATTAGTAAGTTTAATTAGACGCAAATACTTGTATTCAATCGGTACCATGTATGACGACAAAAGATATAACAACGTTAATTTCCTAATGCATGAATTGTGAGATAGTTTTTTACAAAAATGAGACAATGAATTAAAAAGAAACAGAGAAAAGATTTTACTATTAATAGATAACTGTCCATCAAATGTTAAGTTAAGTGATTTGTATTGTATTAAGTTGGTTTTTTTACCCCTAAATTGCACATCAGTATTGGAACAGGGGATCATAAAATGTCTCAAAACAAAATTTAGAAAATTGTTAGTTCTCAAAATGATTGATAATATTGAACACAAAAAAAAAAACTAAATTAAATGTCTTAAATGCCATTTTGTTGTTAACTCAATCGTGGAGCAAAATAACAGTAGAATCTATAAAAAATTATTTTTCTCATGCGGGATTTTTCACTACAGTACAAAGTTCAAGAAAACAATTTTTGACTACCCGAACTTTGAAAATTTTGTAGATACTGAGATAGCAATTACAGGAATATTAAGTGATGAGGACATAGTGAGTACAATATTCAAACCAAATGAGGAAGAAGAAGAGGAAATAACTGATGAAGATAAAGATTATTTAACCATAGACAAAGCGTATAAATCAGTAGAAAATATTATTAATTTTTCATTATTAAATAATATTGACTTGAATCAAAATTTTAATTCATTAAAACTCATTATACAAAATATGCTATTAAATGATAAATTAAAACAGCTAAAAATCACTGACTTCTTAAAATAATTGTGTAATTTTTAATTTTCTTATTAATTAAATTAATTATATTTGAAAAAATTATATAAACAATATTTTAAATTCTAAATTTAAATAAAATTAAAATTATAATAATTTACTTGTGTGGCTTAAAAATTCATTGTACGAGTATAATATGGATGTATAATGTATGTATTATTAAAAAAAATCAAATTTGGTTATAATAATGTATATTTTACAGTCCCTTGACCGTTGTTATAGATGATACGAACTGTAGTCTTATTAGTAAAAACAAAAATTTTAAATTAAAATTAAAAGTAATTAAATTGTAGTATAAATTAGGTAAAATTCATAGTAATTAGTTGCTTGGGGTTATAGTTACAACATATTTTTCTTAATGGTTGTTTACTCAATTATTTAAGCCACTTTTTAAACTTGTTTTTATATTAAATTTATTATGATAATCAATTGCTACTTATAATTTAATAATTACTTTTTTTAAATTTTAAATAGTATTATAGTTTTTTCTATAAAAAAAAATATTTATTATTATCTTGAATTTATACCAATAATTATTATTTAATAATTACATTTTTCTTTATTTAGAACTTAGTAAATATTTAGAAAGAAAAGAAGAATTAGAGTTGATGAAGATAAAACAACAACAAAAAAACTGCATTCAATCATTTGGCGCATCAAAACTGTATGCTAGTTCAACAGAACGTAAAACAAAATTGGAATTACCAGAAAATGGTAATAAAATTAATTTACTTATTACTTATTAAATTTATGGTATTTAATTCCATTAATTTTTTTTTTAGATTCAGATAATACTAAAGAATCTTCCATTGTTTCACGTTATGTATCTTCAATGAAAAAAAAACCATCTTTACAAGATGTTATAAATCGTGCAAAAAATCATCCTTATCAGCAATTGGTTTCTAATTCTGATACCTCAGTGTCCAAGAATGCTCCGTCTATCACTCAATCTATACAGACTTCAAGTAATAAAGAAATCAAGTCAGTACAAAAAAATTGTTTAATATATTTCTAAAGAAACATTTTAAAATAGTAAACATAGAATATTGACATGTCTTTTATATTGCTAACAATGTTCACAGAATTGGTTGGATTAAAAACTCTGACGGATCATGGTTTAAAGATCCACAAGCTGAATTTGATTCTGATGATGACTGGTAAGCATTGGATATGATTGCCTAGTAACGATTTTTAAATATTAAAAATATATTGCTTGAAATAGAAAATAAGTGTCAGTCTAAAATTATTAGACAAACTAGAGGGCTATTTTTATCCCAAAAACTGAAAATCTAGTGACTGCTGTCGGTGATACAGTGATAAGCCACGATGTTCCTAAAAAATTGTTTACAATTTTACACTTATTTTATCAATTTATTTAGGTATAGGAGAAAATAATGTAAATTTTTACTTATTACCAAGCACTCTTTGTCGCCGACAAAATTTGATTTTCTTTCTGTTGCATGGGAATATTTCTCATCGTCACAACTTTTACTTCTCCTATAAGTTATTCATATAACATAAGAATATGAATTAACATTTTAATTTAAATAACTTGGATAATTTATTTATTTACATTGACAGTTTTCTGATTTGTAGATTTTCCTTAGTACTTGGCTCTGTTACATCATGATTATTTGAAGACCTACAATATATTATAAATTCATCATTAGTAATTTGATATATTTATTGAATTTTTAAATATGAATATTTACGAGCCACTCTTGCTACTGTTTCTATTTCTAACAGTTTCCAATAACTGTGATGAAGAAGCTGTCATTTTGGCTTGTAATAGCTGCAAATTTATGCAACAGAACATTATTTATGTATCAATTATTAAATCTGAACTAATATTTATAAATACTCACAGGCCAAGATGTTGCACGCATTTCTCTGAGATCAATATTTCTGAAGAATTCAGTCATTACTAACTGTTCAATTGTAGGAACTTGACCCATAGGATTTTTAAACACATAGTCCATTATTTCAACAACCTAAATAATTATATATGTATTAAATTATAAAGTTACGTTTCAATTAAAATACATAGCTAAAATAAAAATATGGAAGTTTTCATTATGTTTTAAATATAATATAAATATTTTATTTTTTTTTTACTTGAGGGTAGTGAGCAATATCTTGTAAATTAATTTCACTGGGTTCTGGAGTGAGCAATTCATAACCAGCTGCCATTTCAAATAGAACATGGCCTAAATAAATTTATATTTTTCAGATTTTTGTGCAAATTATATCTAAGACAATTTTATACCAAAACAAATGACATCAATTGCTGAGAAATCATCCAATATGAAATTACCACTCATAACAATGGGCTGAATTCTCGATGTAAAACCAAGTAGAGAATTTTCTAGACCTGTGATCCTTTGTAAAATTATTAATACATTTTTAGTTATGATTTTACTGTATTTTATATTTTGAAAAAATACCTGGCTACACCATTCTGAAGAATTACATTGCCAGAATGTAAATTACAATCATGTGGAAACTTTCTTTCCTTAAGAAATAAAAGTGCTTCAAGAATCTGACGACCAAGTCTTTGTATCTGTGACAATGGCAAACCTTCACTGCGCTGTCCATACTTATCACTCCAATCATCATGCCAACAACTCTAAATCATTTGTATCAATAAATTATATTTTCTATATTCAAGATGTTATTATTGTCATTACAAAAATACCTTATAGATAAGATCTTTAAGACTTCCCTTACTGTTAAAAGGTAATACTAATGTTATAAATGTTGTTTCTGGGTCTGTTGCACCTTCAACAAACTCAACGTCCAATACAGGATATATGTAAGGATGTTGTAATGTTAAAAAAAGATCTAGTATAGTACGTCTGGTATCTGATGTGCACTCGAGAACACTTTTGGGATTCTTGGGCACGAGTGTCAATAGACGTTCTGTTTTGACTGATCCATCGCGTACTACAAACCAATGTTTATCCACCCTAAGTACAAAGTTTTTAACAATCTTTTTATAATACTACAAAACCAGCGATTTGTAAACTTTATATTTAATTAAAATAGTTATTTTTACCTTGACCCAATGTCGTTGAGGTGTTGTAAAAGAGCATATCGTGGACAAAACCTTAAGTAATGCTTGCATGCATTTTGAGCGTGTTGTCGGGCTTTGCGTTCCAGTTCCATTCGTTCCTGCCCCATGGAATCGGGTTCCAACGCTGTGTACTGATACCGGCTGCCATTTCTATAATGCATAACAAATGTGAAGTGATTGTTTCATTCTAAGTTATTATTCATCGACAATAAAATTTCGTCGTGGGTTAGTGTCGGGTAGGGGGTGTACACAAAATGAGGATGAAGTTTCCCTAACTTGTGTCCGCGATCGACTTTACAGTTGTCGCACAATTCCTTGAAATGTTTGGGAGGTTCGGGTGTGGACCACCATGCTAGTCGAAACCTAAACGGACACACGGGCCTCGATCTGACGACACTGCGGTCGGGCTTTCGGGATGCTACGCGTCCGTTCACCCTGTGAACGGGTCGTTCGGATTCCGCGTCCCCCGACGACGGCATAATTTTGAAGCAATTTTCCGATTGAGGCGAGCGTGGCAACACGGATATGATCGTACGAGCATTGTTGTTATTGCGATTACCGATCGGCCAAGGCATCTGTAACTTAGCGTTTCACTGTCACCGCAGTACTATAAATGAGTGCTGTTGTCTGTTTAATTTTTGTGAATATTAAAACTGGTCGTGTTTTATAGTCGTCGACATGATATTATAATTTGTATTATTCTGTTTATTCTGTATTTTAATATAGACGGATAATATAAATGGTGCTGTGGGAATTAACCACGGTCATTACTCATTATCTATGTAAACACGAACAATAGCCCAAATATATCGCGTGAGTTTTAGCTTTATGCAAGTCAAATGGTAACATTGACTTTGGACCACACATGAACATGCTGTACGGCGTAGTACGCCATTGGCTATTATGTATTTATTTAGTATAATATGTACACACTACACTACTGTAGGGTGGGCCACATATCTTAATATTCATGACATTATACCTGATATACCTAATATTTATATTACTTATTATTATTGTGTTGGTGCAATAATTAAAGGATATTAGTTTTAAAAAATATATTTATGTATAGGTATACACTTACATGTATATAAACATATTCGCCATTGTTAAAATCCAATGCTCTTATTAAATATTTGTACAATAGCGTAAAAACTGTATATTACTATTGTTTAATACCTAGTTTTGGTTTATTAATAAAGTTGTGGATTGTGGTTGAGAATTCGTGTATGGTAGTAGGTATTGGGTATGATGAGTAAGTAGTATACTGCATAGGCATGCGCAGACTTCTGAGTCAGGTATAGCTAAATTCAATCTGACCACCCACCCTCCACCCATTATGTTCTCACGAAAAAAAAATTAAACCAGTATATCTTTAATTTTGTAAATATCTATGATTTTAATTTATTTTGTTATCAATTTTCTACGGCTATAACGCCTTATTACTTTTTTAGGTACCAAGTACTTACCCACTTGTTAAAAAAAGGCTTAGGTGGGGCTAAAGCCCAATCAGCCCTACCAGTATGCACGCCTATACAAATTAGGTAACTATTTTTACATACGACTATAAAATTGTACCATACTTACGAGCAAGCTTTTCTAATCCAATAAGCTAAAAAACCCAGAAGGCCAAATCCACTGACGAGTGCCACTGTCATTACCTGAAATTAACGATCATTTATGTTAAGATAATTATAGGATAGTTAGTTAAAAAAATAGTGTTATTTTTACCAATTAAGGATTACTAAAATCATAATTTAACAATTTCTTTTACTCTAGTTATTCTTACGTTAATACGTCATGGCTAAATGTTATTTGCACTGCGATATACAATTTAGAAAAAAATAATAATTGGAATTTATCTACTTAAAATAACATTAATTGTTTCAGTTAAGAAATATTTTATCAATATTAAATATTCATTGACAATTCATTGCATTTGTTAATTTGTAGAAATGTTAACTAACCCAACCTATAGGCCATATTATTTGTATTGTATAAAAATTAATCATTTTTTATTTATATAAATCAAAATATATTTAATTCAACAATATATTTTTGCAATTTGTATTATTGTTCATAAATTAGAATTAATAAAATACATAAGTGGATAAATTAGGAAATTTACTGCTTGCCTACAATCTTAGATTTTGCTATCTACCTTAGATGTTTATATAAAATGCATTTTACAATTCAATTTTTAGGTTAAGTTATCTATTTATAAATTAATTACTGTAATTTTTTTCAGAATTATTTTTGGTAGCTGTTAGTCGTTACAACTAGAAATTATAAAAATGATGAATAATAGTTAATGGAAAGATTACATAATATTATCAAGTAGGTATCATGCACACTGATTTCTAAATTATTGTACAATGATTTCTGCAGTTTGTATTATGTTTATATGTTTAAGAATAATACATATTATACAAATAGTCTTTGAGACTTGAGTCTTGACATTTACTATGTCCGTTAAAAAATAAAATCATTACAATATGACTCTTCTATCTATAATTAAAAGGATTTCGTTGCACTATTTATTATATCTTATTATTTCTTTATGCATACATAAATACACAACCAACATAATAATTGCCTATAGTAATTTGTGTTCAAGAAACTAGTCATGTGTTGTCAGCTTTAATAGTAGAGCTTATTACTGTCTGTTTGTAAGTTAGTTTTTTTACGGTAGGGAATTTTATTTTTTTGTCATATATAATGAGAATTTTTAAATTTTAATATTTTACATAAGTACTCATATTTTGTCTAAAAATCAGAACAAATAATAAAATATCTAAGTTCGTACAAGTGTAATATAAATATTGTTCATAACATCATAACTTATTATAAGCCATAACATTAAATTTGATGGTAGGTCAATTATTCACTGTAATATTAAAGCCAACAACATACTATTGATTGTGACGTTCTACTGAATGCAAAATTATTGTCTTAACAAATAAATTAAAGTATTACCATAATTTTAAATTAATTAATTTTTTTTTTTGCCTAACCTTATTTTATTTTTTATATTTACTTTATTAGTAATGTTTAAGATCAAAGAAATATATTAAATTATAAAATTTAAATACCACTATTTTAATATTTGCATCTTAATGTTTACAAGAATATATAGTACCTATTTATTTTACTTACATTTTTTAAATTTATTTAATTACCTATGGAAGGAGACATCTAATTAGTAATTAAAAATATTATATATATTTCTCTAAAAAAATAAATAGAATTACGTAGATTTGTGGTATGAGCTTTAAAAGAGGTCCCATTACTTATTAGTTGAGCAAAGTTAGCAACAAATCAGCTCAAAGTTCAAACTTGAAAATAAGTTTAATATAGGTTAGATTAGGTATTTAGATCATTACCATTTAATCATTTAATTGGTATCTAGTTAAATAGAAGAAAAATAATATTGATTATCTAATCATTTAAATAATTTTAATAAAATCTGATAAGGTATTTATTAATTATTTAGGGTGCATAAACAATTGGTAAAATTCATTCTATGTGATTATGTATTCTTTTTAAGTACTTTTATTTGTATCTGATCAAATGCAACTACGGCAATGCTTTCAAAAACAAAATCCGTTTTATATATTAGAAAATGGAAATCTTATATTTCTATTTTGCAATTACGTTTATATTTATAATAGTTATGGTCTTTATAGACTATTTAATTTTTATTTTTTAGTGCATATTTATACATTTTATGAATTTTTTAATAAAATTAAATTAGTATTTATTCAAATTTTAATTCAAGACATTTTGTTGAAACATTTATAATTTTTTAATTGTTATATTTGTAATTATAATATTGTTCAATGTAGTGTTCGAAATTTATCATTAGGTAAAAAGTAAATTATAAATGTTGGTATGCTTAGAATGAATAATTTAACCTCAAAAGTAATGCTTTCGCCGGTCAACGCTCAAAACCACCGTCTACGCATCCATTGAAAATGTTCTGATTTTTTTATAATAAAATAAAAAAAATTAAAAGATTTTTAATAGCATTATTGCGGTAATAATACATTTTTTTAAGGCATTTAAATTCAGGTTCTAGTTATATTTCGTATATATATATATATTGCCATATTGGTATAATATTATAATTAATGAGTAATTCGTAATATATACTTATTCCTACCGTGTAGTACGATACGACCAAATCAATTCCCACTGGCTGGTCGATTCTCCTTCCGGGCAGAACTACCTGGACCGTCATTCTAATACACAATACGTGGTAGTTTGCCGCTCACAAAGCGCGCCAATGTTCGTTTTCCGGTTACTCTCGGTGTCCACCATCGCCTGTATAATATAATAATATGTAGTTTAAAGTCTTATAATTTTATGCTTTAATAGTTTAATGTACACACAGGTTATGGCTCACAAGCGTTTGGTACAGTGTGATTCGAAGATATTTAATATCTATATACGTCATGTACCAATTATTAATATGTTATTCTTATAAGGTAAATATACTACGGAAGTCCGAAGTTGTCGAAGAAACAATGGGGAATGGCCAAATGGGATGGAGTCAGTATAGTGATATGATACATCGGAATAAATAATAATGAAATAAAATTATCATCACTTCATATATTTTATCATTTTTTACTTGCACAGATTTGACATTTCATCCTTTTGTTCAATAATTATCCCCCCACGGGTGGAATCTCCTCAGCCTAATATCAGCTAAATTATAAATGTGTAATATTATAATTATAGTAGATTCATACATGCATAGTTATTTTTATTCAATATGTTTTATACTTTATAAAAATAACCAAATTTGTATACGTCGATGCTGCAGAATGCAGGTTATTATTTATTAATGTATACGTATACATGCACATATTATAACAAGTATTCAAGTTCAAATATTACTTAATTTACTTAATATATTAAAGGTATGAAGTAAGTAATTATTGACCATATTATTATATGTAAATGGCTATTGCCTATACCTGCCCCGCGCAAACAAAGTGCCTTCAATGTAGGTCCTGTACTTTTATACATAGCTACATAGCTACTCACCCTTTATTGATTCCATGTATGAAATGCGCATTTTTGTATGATAAGGTATAGCAGTATACCGCTATACTTTTGCAATATATACAATATTTATGAATTTAAAACGAACTCGATTTTTGGTCGCGTTCGTAAACTTTATATTGTCGATCAATTGTCGTTTTCGAACTTAAGGAAAACAAAACAAGCGTTTGAAAATACGGACGGCACTGACGTTATATATATTGAGCGCTGCTATTTCCGATTAAGCTGTAGCGAGTGGGAAGGGCGCAAGTCTGGTTTGGACGCGAGTGCGCCAGTGCGATGTCCTAAATCCCGCCGCGCGGTAAAACTGAGGTACTTAATGTGATAGTGCACCGGACGAGCTGGTGGCTACAGGGTTTTGGGGGAAAACACGTTTTAGAAGACTATTAAAAATGTATTCAATTGATCCGCAGCGATAAAATATACTATGTACATAATACTACTATACAGTAATTATAGCTTAAAATATTTTATCACCCATTTAAATTTGTTTGTGAATCTTACAAAGCATATATTTTATAACTATTGTCTATTGTTATAATTAGTTCAAATGTTTTAATCAAATAGTTATAATATTCTAAAGTGGAAAAGTTAATGAGAAAAAAAACTTACTTATTCAACGTCATAAGAACGTTAAGTTATAACTTTTTTTTGTTCTTTTATCATTTCCAGTGTAAACTACGTACTTATGATCAGCAATTATAGTACATAACAGAGTAATATAAATTATAATATAACTATGTATAAGATATTAAGTTATAATTTATAATATGATAGTTAACCAATCATAATAAGGAATAATTGTATTTTACAAGTGCAATTTTAAATTATTTAATTTTTTTTTTTTTTTTTATTTTTCATAATTTTTGAAATTAATTTTTTTTATATATATTATGCTTATTTAAAATGGAAATATAGTTTTTAATAATTTTTGTCTAGCTGTAGTAAATTATTTATAACTAGGGCTCGGATTTTGTAGCAAATGCTTCTTTTAAGGGGAGTGTAGTAGAAAGATAATTATTATTATTTATAAATACGTTCTGAATCGTTCTAATTTCAATGAAGTAAACATTTTTTTACTTTTTTTTGCTTTTTCCTATGTTTGCTTCTTTTTTCTTAATTTTTATCTATTTTTCTTGAAAATTTAACTTATTTATAAATTATAGACTAAAAATACAATATTATTATTTCCAGAAATTATAAAATCGGTAAAAAAAAACAGTAATAAATGGATGACTAATAAAATAACTATCGTTATTTTGTCGAAATTGTATAGTTTTAAAATTATTTTAATTATATCTGTGTATTTTTATAGTGCATTCTAATACTTTGGTTGACCGGTAAATATTAATCGGTGAGGTATAGTGTTCTAAATAATTTCTCTATAACCGTTATTAGCACACAATAAAATGAGTTTTAACGAAAGTAACTTGACCAAATATATGGTCGTAAATTCTTTCTTTAATGTTTAATTTAATGCGTAACTTAAATTTGTTTTTTATTATTAA